GGTAAAATAAATCTAAAGTCTCCTTAAAGAGTATAAAACTGTATACAATTTTGAAAAACAACACAAGAATTTTAAACATTAAATATTTAAATATTCAAACACAACTACAGTATGAGCAAACATAACGGAACCTGAGCACACAGTATGAACGCTGTGCAGTTTGCTTGCGTGTTTTTCTCCTTGTCGCAATTTCCTGCCATTGTTGATGAGTATGTCGCCTACAATGTATCATTGTTTATAATTTTCCACGCAACTGTGATAATGCTGGTGTGATATATGCGTTATGCTCACTGTTAAAACTCCCAGGTGCGTTACGTGATATGCGCAGTTTAAAAAGTAGTTTCCAAGCTAAGTGTGTTGTAATGAAATATAAACATTGATTGTATATTATATGAATTTAAGTTAGTACTGTAAAACCTAAATAATATAATAATGCAACTTATCACCAAGTCACAAGTACCAATGGAGATTTTGTGGGTTTCTAAAGCAAGAGGTGGCAATATAAGTATAAAATGGATCTCGGAATGGAAATTAAGTAAAAAATATATGCAGTTATATTGTTCTTATACAGTTTATTGCTTAAGGGATAATACTGCAAGCAGAGTGCATTTTAAAAACAAACAAGAAAAAATAACCTGGCAACAGTTATTTTATAATTTTATAAACAACATAAATTGTATAGTTTACTTCATTGTCCATTATGTATTCAAGCATTATGTATTAAATATTATTAATATTTTTAATAATAATACTAGAGCTCGTCCCGATGTTAATCCCGATGTTAAACACTCAACCAAATGTATGGATTGTGCAAACTTCTCTATTTTAACCCCACGCTGGAAATAAAAGATGTGATTGGAATTTCTTCCATTTGTTTTTATTTTCTGTTTATATTTTGTTGTTATTTCGTCACCAACATGGCAACCCATAAGACCCGTGTTATTTTTTTTTATTTTAAATTAATTTGTTGTAGTTATTTTTGGGAGTATTTTAATTTATAAAGGGATTATACACATCTACAGGCAAATATCTTTCTAACAGTATGCGTAGATTTTCCCTGCGATGCACAGGAACTGAGAAAAAAGGTTTTCACAAAACATGCTTGCCTATTAATATAGAATTAGTCCCATGTTAATAAGAAAGTCCTCCATAAGAAAAGTTGAATTTCCATTTTTGGCCCAATTACCATAAATATTCTCAAAATACAAATAAAACCAGCACACATAGGATATATGACCTTTCTTTTGGTACAACCCGCGAGTAAATCATCGGTCCAGTGCCACTCGGTCAGGGTGGCTGTCGTAAGCTTCAAAGTTTGGCACTATGTTAAAATCTCCATAAGAACAGTTTAATTTCCATTTTTGAACCAATTAACATAAATATTTTCAAAATACAAATAAAACCTGCACATATAGGACCGATAACATTTCTTTTGGTACGACCCGCTTGTAATTCGGTCCAGTAGTATAGTCAGGCTAGCTGTCATAAGTTTTGCAAACGCTTTTTATTTAATGTATAAGATAATCAACCTATAGCACTTTTACTATATTTAGTGTAACAATGATAAAGATGAAACCGTGCAGAAAAATACTATAAATGTCATAATTCGTTTGCAAATATACAGGAAAATATAATATGTGAATTTAATTAAATCTTGTGAGATATCAAATATCATGGATCAACGTCATTTCCATGTTTATTCACAATAGGTGCAATTTACAGAAGCAACGTCTCATTCTCTTATCTCTTTAGAAGGTTTTTTACAGTAAGGATTTTTTTGTTGATGTAATGAATTTATTTTTCTTGTACTGACTTGGCTAATGCAAGTATTGTCAATTTGGCCCAATAAATGACTTATTGACTTACTTATTGACTTATTTATATCCATGGCATATACTATAGTGAAACATTGATTGTTCAATTTTGTAGGCATTCAAAGACTAAACGTGTTTTTATATTTGCCTATTAGTTTAAGTCATGGGCCATTCAACAATATTATAAAACAACCCAGCCGCAGCGAACCTTCAGACTAAGCGAATCTCCATTTAACTTGGGTTTTCATCAAATTATTCCCATAAATCTGTCGTATTTATGGTATTCTCTTTTTAAATAACATTAATTTTAATGAGTACTTATGATTGATGACACGGGAAGGTTTCTGGAAAATAAGTATTTTTAATGTCTTTTATTAAAAGGTTAGTATGAAATAAACACACTATATTCAATGAAAATGTAACCATAAACAAACAAACTACGACGGTTTATTTTTCATAAGAATAGCACATGCTTTATAGTTTACTTTTCCTTTAAATGGCGACCATACGTAGGTATTTTAAGCCAAGTATGAATGGAGATGAGTATAGGATGTGTGGCGCGATCTTGTAGTTTTAGTGACTAAGGCTGGCATGTTCCTTAGACACAGCTGTTAATTAATAGCCCAAACAGCTAATGGCAACTAAGGGACGAACAGTTTATAGTGGAAACCGAAGTACATGAGTTATATATGTATGTATATATTTTTAATTTTCATTGTAACTATTAGGCACACAATGTTTCAATATACTATTTTTTCAAGCTCTAAGAAATTGTTTGGAAATAAATAGCAAAAAATCAAAACGTCCCAGAACCCTTCGTTCCCAACGATCATGTTGGTTCGCAAACTCGTTTGATTAAAAATAGTCTATAGGTTTACAAGTTTGTATAGTATTTACACAATAAGACTTGTGTGTTATTTTTATTTGGGTGAGCATTAGCTTTGAGAAGGTTAGTAGTGTCTAGTTGATTATCTAGTGCTTAGAAAGTTACTTGCTGGTTCAATATTGAGAAAAGTAATTTTGCTGGTTTAAAATTGGTCCCAGCTTTTCTTGGTGATATAATATTCAGTACTAAATAAACAGCTGTAGTGCTGAATACAGCGTTTATGTATTCAAAAGTACGATAGTCAAGAACCTACGCATTCGCAAGCACCTCACTCCATTCTTCCATTGAATATTGGATGCTTGCCTATTGTATAAATTGTCAAAGAGTCTAAACACTTTCCTTCAGTCATATAGGCCTACAGGAGAAAATAATTGTCTCTTTTACGTAAAAATCCACAAGTAAAAACGGTGGATGTACAAAGCCAATCATAAAGTTATTACATCATCTAAAAATGTTTTGTTTTATTATAATCATATTTCTATGTTCATTCACACTTTTATGTTTGTTATTATATGTATTTGTGTGTGTAGTTACACATGAAAACAATCACAATTATACATCCCGATATGTAAATAAATCATTGTGTCTTGTGAATAATTTTGAGAGACGTTGCCGATGCTTACAAGGGTCGAGTGTGTGGTGTAAGTTAGGGTTAGATCAAGGGTCGTAGTGTAACCCCGGCCGAGGCTACGTGCTCTGGGGCCTGTTTAGAGACTACGTGAGGGTCACACGTCACACGTCAGAAAGGGACAATATACTATAGGAAACGTAAACATGTTAAATACAGATTACGACGAAAGCACGCACATTTGTCAAAATACTGTTAACGATGGTTACAACATGTACAGAATGACATTATCTGTGGTCGAGAAATTCAGAAATGTAGCTAGAATTGATACGATACCAATAATGGTATATACAGTATGGTTATCCAAAATTCACTTCAAAGATAATCCGCACTTACATCAAATGAGCAGAGAATGAAGTTGAAATAGGCCTAAGACAGTACTGTAGATGCATGCAAAACTAGTAACATACCACATTTTGAATTTTTAGTCTTGTATGTGAATAAAGTATACAGTGATAAAAGTTTCTCCAAAGTGCTATGTGAATTCAAAAATGTGTAAATCTTTGAATTAATAAAGATAGGAGTGACATTTTTACTTAAGAGTTTGAAAAATAGGATTTTAGAAAAAAATCCGGTTTAAATTTAACATAGTACGAGCTTTTGGTCCCTCCTACGTACGGGAATTGAGAAGGTTTTTCATCTTTAAAAAATTTAGATTTTTAATGGGAATTTTCCCATAAAACCCCATAAAATAACGGAAAAATAGGATTTTCCCAAAAACGGCTGGAACGATTTTGAAAAAAATTGGTACGTTATAGTCCTTTATATTCTGAACAAAATGGTACAAATCCGATTTCTGTAAAAATTACGGTTCAACAGTTATTGTAAATAATGTTATTTTCCCATAAAACCCCCTTAAAATAATGGAAAAATCGGATTTTCACAAAAATGGCCCGAACAATTTTGATAAAATGTAGTATGTAGTCCTTTAAATTCTGAACAAAATTCTACTAATCCCATTTCCGTATATTTACTCTCACCGCTTACACATGATAAAGGTTGTTGACAAACTTATGGGAGAAAGTATGTGTCAGAATGCTGATACCGTTTATTTCCTTTTTCATTATTTTCAATGAGATAGGTGATGTATTTTAGCTTTAGATTAAGAATGTTAAAGTTTGATTTAATTCAACCACGATCATAATAATTGTAGCTGTAAAAGCTCCTTCCTTGCGGTGGGACATTCAGGAGAGAAGGATATAGTCTAGATAGCCTGATAGCCTCTTCACTAAAGCACTTAAAGGAATTAGGACAAGACACTGCTGTTACCCTCATTCCGAGCAGAGACACCGGCGAAATAAAGTTGAACTGTAAAACAGACGTCTCGCTGTAATAAAGAGCATTACTACATCCACAGCGGAAGTCTTGCTACTTAGTTGCAACCTAGAGGCAATGAACGATCGAACACCAGACGTTCAGTGAGACTATGGAGTATTACTTAACAAATCAAAACGGAAAGAAAGGATAAAAGAGGTGAAGATGTAATAGATTGTCCTTAAACCGCAGAGAGCCAGCGAGTGGTGGGGAGGATCACAGGATCCGATAATAGGAGCCGCTGATTGGTGGAGTCAGAAGAGCGAGTGATTCTATTAGCCGAGGAGGAGGGGGCGTGGCCGTGGAGGGGAGGGGCGGGCGTTCGTTCCCGTGGTACAGTCGACACCAGTGACTCGAGCGGTGAGGACGTACAACAGTGCTCTCGGATCATTCAGTGACTATTAAACTTTCATCGCGACAGTTACCTGTGATATGTTTTCGTGTTTGCCGTAAAACAAACTTTGGTGTCACACAAAGTGTCGTCTTCGGCGCTTAGTTGTTCATAAACAGTGCGTTACCGGTGTATGGAGTTTGTTGTCTGTGAGTGGTGAGGTCTAAGGAGTGTCCTAAGGACCGAACGTTGGAGGGTGGACCCAGGACTCCCGGTGGACCCATGACAGTCCACGACATGTCCCCAGCTGCCTTGACCATGCCGCACCACCATCCGCACCTCGCACGGTCCAGGTTCATGATCACAGACATCCTGTCCGGCCAGTCCGGCCACCATCCCCAGCGGTCACCTCCGTCGCCGGCCAGCTCCGTGGACGCCCCCCGGGATCTCAGTCTCCACTGCCGCACCGCCGCCTCTGACGCCGATCTCAGCGATGGTCATGAGAGTGGCACAGACTCCGGCCTGCACGGCGACAACTCCAGCGTCTGCTCAAATGGTGAGTGAATTCGACAAAATACAGTATTTTATGATGATTCCTTTCCTGGATGGGCTTTTTCCAAAAGTACAAAACCAGCTGTTCTAGATAAAAAATTGTTCATATTTATGTTTATAAACAATAATTTTACCATTGTAATGTCTTTGATGCACGAGCATACCTATTTTAATATTGTAAATCTGTTCGTATCAATGTTTGTGTTAAAGACAACGGATTTATTCTGGTCAATGTAATTTTGTCCGTACATTATCCTACATTTTAAAAACGACAATAGTGTTTATTTTAAGGTTTAAGGAATTAAGAAAAATATTGCCCAAGATATCATATGTACAACAAACAGATATCAATGTCAAGGTGGCCGAAATAGTACACATAGATTGATTATTTACCGTTCAAATGGTATATTTTATACTTTGCCTCTCTCTTTTATACTTATTAACGTGTACCTCCCCACATTTTATCCTTACGTTACACTAGATGTTATATTTTGTTTTTCCATTTTTGAACTATCTGCGTGTTTTCTTACAGCTGTAATAAAGAATAATGAGTGTATAATTGGCAGTTGAACATTCTCAGTTTAGATTAAAGTGCCGTATCTATGAATTTAGAGTTCTTGATTAACCACGTTACCTATTTTTTTCTATCGCAGTTTTGAAGAGAAAAATATATATTTATTATTTAGGAGAATATTTGAACAAGTAAAAAACATTCACCGACATGTTCAAAAAAATAGTTAGGTTACAAAAAAATACTTAATTAAGTACACGACAATGTAGACCTACTATTAAGGTTTACGGTAAAATTATTTTCATTAAAGAAGTTAACAAACCTTAATATTGCTACATTACTATTTAAAAATAATTTGAAGTAATTTTTTTTATTCTTGCAATGTTTTAACAGAGTCCAAAACAAATTTGATTTAAATCCATTATTTAATGATAGAATATTGTTTAGTTAATTTTCCGGCAGCACGCAGAATATCATTATATGATATTAAGGTTTAATGGTCAAACCACACTAGATTCACAAGCGTATTATGTTAACGTTGTAATTTATACACTAAACGTAATTGTACATAATAGTCGGTTTTCAGCGTGTTTGTGATTTCGTATGTAATTATATTATTATGAACTTAAAAATTGCTGCCTTCCGGACTTCTTTAGACACTTCTATCTTTCCTTCTTTGTTACATTGAAATTGAACCATTAAAACGTGAGTTAAAATTGTTCATTGTTGAAACGATTATTCTGTGCTCGTGGAGATAACAGAACAGAGGTAATGTGTTAATCACGTAATGAGTGAGTAAAAATACAAGATAATCAGATAGGTACGTGAAACATTTTAAAATCTAGATAAATATTTGTGTTCTTATGATGTACCGAAAGGTTAATGTAAATAAATATGTATATATGTGTATTACTATGTTATTGCTTTAGTCAAGGATGACACTATAGACGTACAGTATTTTAACTGGGATATGAATAAAAGATATACGTGTAGAATGAGAGAGAAAATGTAAACATTACTACTGTTTGGCCAAACCTAATATTGTGACCATATTTTTTTACTGAGTAAGAAGATGGTAGTTATATTTTCAAAGAGGATAACTGACGAGAATATACACTACTACTACTAATTGCGACAATCACGACCCAAAATTTGAACCACCGTATACACTCAACACGAACAATTTGCAATGTAATGCGATTTCATCAAAAAACCTTTTTTGCAATTTTAAATTTTGCAATTTGATGTTGCAATTTCACTAGCAGACAGCTATGTGTCCTAACCATTGGAAGGCCTTGCGATTGAGGTTTTTTCTGCGTTGTTTATTGCTCTATTGTTAGATGTATATGTGAAGATGAATGTCATAGTCAATTAGTCCGCAGTTAGTAATAAAACTACGAGGAAAATCCGGTCAGTTTGATCTTTTAAACACAAAACCGCATGAGGATAAGTTGAACAAATTTGACAGCGGAAGGTAAAACCACAGTAGACCTGAGCGATAGGGATGTGTCTGTATATCTACCGCTTCCTGTTATCAGTGATTAGGAGAAAAGAGTCAGATACTGAAACAAATAAAAACGTTTTAATAGAACGACCTGGAGTATAAAGTCATGTGTTACACAAATAAAAATAATTCTAAAATCGTATATCTTAGTGTAATATTAGTGCCTCTTGAATAAGCACACAATGTTATTAATGAATATAGTGTGATTTAAAAATTAATATTTCGTAAGCATCGATTGAACAAGTATGTAAAAAAAGTCTAAATGTAAACAAAACTAGAAATTATCAAGTAGTTGTAAGTTATTTCACTAATGAATTACAACTCGACAAGTCTTTCAAATTTATTTTAACAGTAAAATATTTCTAAACCTAATTTTAATAATTAACAAGGAATGCGTTTTTATTTATTATTCTAAGTTAAAAGTCATCGTTCGTGGTATTTTTTAAGTTGTGTACATTTTTCATCACTGATTAATAAAACAACAACGCCTGTAATAGTTCAATATTACTTGTACACCAGTAATGCGATATTACTAGCTAATTCAATTTAATTTAAAAAAATAGTATGTTTTCGAGGTGTTTATACTATACCTATATGAGCTACAGAAGAATAAGCTACTAAACATTTAATATCACCTTGAATTAAACAAATAATAGAAATAAGTAAAGAACCTATAATACCAAAAGTAAACCAAATATTAGAATACTTAATTAATATATATTCATATAAGGTCAATTAAAGCCATTAAAATCATTCCAGTATTACTGAAGTACAATTAAAATCATAATAGTTTTGACGGGGTTTTATATAGGGGTGAAAATTCAGTAGCTCAAACGCAAAACTATCTCTATTGATTCTACTAAATTTCCCAGCAAAACCCAAAGCGCTAATTGTTTCATCCTCTGTCCACTCTTCGCTGTAGTCGCTCCGGTGTCATCGGCCTGACCCGTGGACGGTTTTCTGGTGGTTTTTCTCAGCTAGTGTCGAGTGTATCAAAGTAGATGAGTCAGCAGCTCAACACGCGACCAACACGTGACACGACTCTCGACACGCCGACACGGACACGCGGCACTACACTACACTTCTGGAGGGCTTCCCTGTAGATCAAGTGGCGTGTTGAAACCGTCAATATACAAGTGTGCTTGCGTCAAGTCTTTGCTATGTCTCTGTGATATTATTCACTACATAGCTGAACGGTTGTAGTGCTCGCCTTCAAATCTAACGGTTGCTGGTTCGATCTCCAGCGGGGTCGGAACGACAAAGAAATGTTTGAGACCAGAGAGTGTGGATGGCACAAAAATGTCTTTCCGTTACTCAATCTTTTACTTAAGAATTCCGAGATTTGTTTAGTGTGTAGTATGGAGTATGTATATTACGGTACTTCAGTACAACCATCTCTATTTGTCGGGTATTCAAAGATCCTAGGGAGTAATTCGCGGGATGAATACCAGTGGCTATTCATGACAAAAACAGCAATATTTATATTTTATTTACTTTCCCTATTTAAATTTTGACATATTTGCATTTAGCTAATTAGGTGAATCGGCGGCTTCGTCTGTAGTTGTAGAACAGAAGCGACGATGTAGTTAAGAGTCCAGACTCCAGAGGTCACAACTCTGTATCCAGTTCTGCATTTTTTGTATTTTAACGGCTAGCTAACCCATAGCTAAAGTAACCCATAGCTTGGTTACTTTCTGCGGTTAAAAGATGCAGCATACTTCAAATAAAAAATATATATAAATGCATTGCTTTTCAGGAATAGTCATCTAAAAAACTACGTTTTGAAGATATTTTTAAGCATTTCAACGCGATGACGCCGTCGCGGGGGCGAGTATGCAATATGACTACTGCAGTCACATTGCCTATTTGCGCAACACAGGCGCTCACTACTACAGTGGTCCGAGTGTTTTATTCTATTCTATTGATATATGCTAGCGATTTATTTTATTTATGATCTTATTCACGTACGGTGTTTATTGTATTCTGGTGTACGATTTGTTTTCAAACAGCAACCTTACAAGGTTTGTAGGCCTACCAAAACAATCAGTGGGCCTACTGAAAGGAAATAATACGCTTTCCGTACTGGTTATTTTGGCACATACAATATAGCCTATTCAGAAAATGTCTGAATTATAGAAGAGACTGAAATATTATACGTGAATTACAAACTGTTAACTAAATAATACAAATAATTTATAATGGATTGAAAAAGTAATCTAACACAATGGCAAGGGTTTGCTCGTCAAAAACTCAATACCTAATTACTTAAGTATATTGACTCAAAAATACATTATTTTAACTCTAAAAAGCATAGCGCCTTCTTTGTATTTTTCCTGTTTAGCACGGCTAACATTTTCAATTTCTTACTTTCACTCTAAAATTCAACCATCCTAAACTTATTAAATTCATTGTTGTTGACCCCGAAGAGATAAGCAAATTATTAGACTTGCATTTTACAAATTAACCCCAAATCAGAAAAGTCCAAACTCTTCCAATTTTCCTTTTACGCCCGCGTATCAAAACCGCGTAGCTTACAATTTTCCACCAAATATATGTGAATTGTATTTTTCACTCGGATTCAATCGCAGTGAAAGCCGCGCTTGCACACAGCTCTGTTTGCAAATGTTCACATCAACGGTTGCGCAACTGTTGATAATGGGTAATAACGGTTGGAACAGTTTAGCTTCCCCGGTTACGGCCCCCGCTGTCTCGGTGACACAATTTCGGAAAATAACAGGGTGAAATAATAGTCACTGGAGCGGCGCGCATCGAGACATAATCGCAATGTCAATCTTTCGTTTTGCGATGATTTGTTCTCTAACGTTTGTTTTTTAAGTTACTATGTTCAAATTATGCCTCCAAGCATGAATGCGTTTTTGTAGCACAGCATCAAGTTACTATTTATTTCTTTAAACATGTAAAATGACGAACATGAAAGAACATTGCAGCCTTTGATCAAACGCACTTATGAATACGTCATGATCATGTT